CAATTGCAGGAGCGACGGATCGCTCCAGCGATGCGAGCGACGGGAGATTTACCCGAGCGGCGCCGTGTGTATCGGTGGTCGGCGGGGTAAATCTCCCGTCGCTCGCATCGCTGGAGCGATCCGTCGCTCCTGCAATTGGTGCAAAATCGCTCCAATCGCAAAGTCTGACATCGGCCATACCTATTTATTGTAAGGATGAGTGGAGCATTTGTTTGATGTACTAGCGCATTTTAATGGTCCTACATCTTATTCCGACAAGTGTAAGAGAGTGCTGGGGAAGTGGCCCAATGAGAAAATAGTGCTCCAGCGCTAATCGTCAAATATTCAAAATTTTCGCCGCGCGCGGCGAAAACAGAATTTTGTCGCTTTGAAGAATGTTGTCGTTGTCGTCTGTCAGTACTGCAGAGATCAACAAGCTTGTCTAGTCATAATCATTCTCCAAAAGAGACGCTTTCTCTCCTTCTGAGGGTCTTGTTTACCAAAACTTCATTCAATCCTGACCACGAGTCCAATCTGTCGCGCACGGCAACAGTTTATTTGCTTCCCATTTGGACTCATTTCGATAATGTCTATCTTTCTCGTGTTTCTACTTTTTGCTTGAGATCACTCGCTTACTGCTTTAAGAGAAGTTGTATTACAGCAAAGATGGCCTCTATAGATGTGACCGAGATCTTGAAGGGATCTGCCGCGCCATCTGAGGTGAGTTTTGTTTGTTTTTGTTTGGTAACTGAGTAGGTTTTTAACATTGTGAGTGTTGCAACATCATATTCACAACTTTGATGCCATCCTTCATAAAATACAGAGCAAATCGCGGTGAACTAGTTAGATGCTCAAGTGTCAAAGGAAGCTCAAATGGCTGCTATTAAATTGTTGCTTGGGCTGAGTAATTGAAGGGTTTTGTCGGTTCAGATTTTCTTCACAGTCGAAAATTCACACATTTCAGCTGAAAGACGCATTTATACAAATTCACACGACCATGTCTGGTGGTGGTGTCCGTTTCTCCATGAGGTGCCAGTAAGAAGGCTGAGCTGACCGTGGACATTCGCATGCCGGCGACATAGCCCCAGTGACAGGCCGGCACACACACGCTTACTTTCTCCTATTGAGGTGGACCTGCTGCAAGTCAAGGGACGTCAAAGCCGTTTTCTGTGGCGGTTCCAAGACCACAACGGCGACGGGATGATTGTCTGGACGCTCCCGTGATTCGACAGTGAGTGCGCTACTATTATCGCAATGAAGATCTTTTTTCGTCATCGAGCAGCAGGGAAACATCATTTCCCCTGCGTTCGCTTCTCAGATTGGATGACCCAGCAATCAAGAACAAGTTCTATAACTTGTTGGAGAGGCAGCTGCAGTACGTAGAAGGGCTATTATTTCACAGGTGACCACAATGACGACGGTTGCGGCGCTACGAAAGACGGTTCCAACTGTCATGGTGGTTGCAGATAAGGGTCACGTAATACTGATGGCGACCTAATTGCTGACTATGAAGACTCGCGTAACCTCACCATAGTAAACACGAAATTTCGAAAACGTGACTCACATCTTATCACATTCTATAGCGGTAAAACCAGAACACAAATCGATTTCGTACCTTGTCAGGCACCGCGATCAAGGGCTCGTAACAGACGCGAAAACAGTGCCTTATGAAACGGTCGCCACGCAACACCGACCACTAATTTGTACGCTAAAGATCGCCCCGCCGAAACCGAAACTAACCGAAAGGTGTGGGCCAGCGAGAATCAAGTGGTGGCGACTGAAGGAAAAAGAAGCGGCCGTGTTTCCCGCATTCGATTATCGGCACTTTTGAATGCTAATGAAACTCGGAAAGGTGCCACCGAAAGATAGTGCGGGTTGCTCGGCGGCTGACGAAGGCTGGACAGCGGAAAGTTGACAAGAAAGAGGCTATGGACGGACAGTGCCAAAATGCGCAAGAAGAAAGAGCACAACCATCATTTCTTTCTGAAAAGACAGCTGATAAATGGCGGAGCTATCAGCTAGCTAATTTTGAGGAAGAGGCAAAGAAGACGGTTACTTCTGCAAAACAGCTTATTTTGCTAATGTCGACAAGTAACTCGAGTCGCGCGATGATGAACGGCACACTCAGCCACTCGCAAGTGCCTGCTTTCGCTAAATCGAAGATACAGGATCCAGAATGATCGAGGGTACAGAGATACAGAAGAGCCCTTAGGCTTAAGTGACAAGAGAGCTACCCCCTCCGGCCTGCACAGATACACTAATGCAATGGCCAGACTACTTCGAAAACATCTCAACAAGTGGGATTAGCCCTGCCGCTCCTGTGCTCCGCCGCGGCAATGTTCAGAAGATGACCAAGAAGGATACCTCGTGAGTTGTGGAGAAAAAAAGCAAGCAAAGCAACGGGTCTTCGACGACAGCGGGCCCGACTTGTTGAGTTCGAAGGCGGAATCCTCAGAGTCGTTGACGAAGTTCTTCAACCAAGCCATAGCAGAAAAGATGGTGCGTAGGAACTGGCAATAGAGCACAAGGATTTCTATCTGGAAGAAGGATGTGAGTCCTGCACTAGCTAGGTAGTCGCCTGCTCCTCCCAGCATGAAAAATTTTCACCGAGTTGTAAGCAGTTGTATCCAGAGCGTCGCACGAGTGCCATCAACCAGTTATAGTTTCGGCAGGCTGTAGCACCATCGAAACGGAAACAAGGAAACATACTCCGATGGTCTTCTGCTAGAAAACATGAGAAAAGCAATGAACAATGTTTACCTTCCCAGACTTGGAAAAAGCTTTCGATCGTGTCCCGCGTGACGTCACAAGGTATGCCTTACGATAGGCATTTGGTGTTCCAGAAGAGCTTATTGCTGGGTTCAGCCATATTTACTTTCCAAAGAGCCGAGTGTGCACGGCAGCACTTCGACGAGTTTTCCTTCTTCCGGCTCTCGGATGTACACAAGGGCTCTGCGCAATCTCCACCTCTGTTCGTCGTCATGGATGTCATTTCAAGAGATTGAAAGCCCATGCTTCAATGGACGCTTATCACTATTGCCTGATGCGTGATGCTTTCCAGCAAAGATAAACGCACGTTCTAGGAGAATACGCAAGCCTGGTCTGGCCGTTCGGTTGTGTTAAGCCTCAGGTTAAACGTCCAAAAGAGCTGTGAGTTAGTTGACCACTAATTCTTATGGACCAATATTCTATTTTACGACCAGTACTACTGATCTTACACGTACAACAAAATTCAAGCACCTTGAATCAGCAATAGCCCCTGATGCGCTAGTTTTGAAGCGCATCTCGCGTACGAGTAGGATGCGCCACGCACGCGCCTGTGGTTTCGAGGCCACAAAAGCATTTGAAAGTCTTTTCAATCTTACTTTAGCTTGTAAATGCCGGTCATTTTGCTTTGCTGTTATTGTTGAAACATGAACCACAGAATGCAGCCCATATCTCGAATTTCAGTTCCGTTTATGAGGAAGGTGGATCCTGCCACAGCCGCTGGCGCATTTATGACCCCGCGTGAGCTAAGTACGACGACTCTCCTCCCCCTTACTGATCGTCGGAGTCCCGGGAGGGACTGTCAACTGTTTCCATATCCGTCTATGAGAAACGTCGATACCGATACGACTTCACTTACTGGCCGCTTGCTGTTGATCCCTTCTCTCGGTTCGACGGTAACGGACGGCGACCCTGTTAGTAGTGAGATGGCTATTGCACATCACATCATTTTTCTCGCTGGCCTCATTAACGGTCGTTTTCCCATCATGTTTCATGGGCAGGACAGACTGGCATACCCCACCGAGGTGCATCCATACTGACGCAACAAGCCAAGGTTGTGGTTTCACTTCATTATATAAACCAGAAGTTTGGTGTGTCGGTTTGTTTGTGTGTATGTATGCACGTCTGTCTGTCCGTCCGCAAAATGAAGTGAGTGATAAGGCGGCCAATGGAGTAAACTGGGTAGCTCGCAGGGCTTGCCCTATCACTGTTTTGCAATGGCATGGTTGTGATAACAGAACAGCGGCTATATAAACACCTACTTAGCATATTCTTGGTTATTCATATAGTGCTACAATGGCGGTGGAGCAGTGGAAAGAGGAGAAGAAGAAATGGAAAGGAGGAGGAGGAATTTTTACAGCGGAATGCGTCAAGATATACGCAGTTATACGAAGGGATGGTCCGGGGGGCGGCCGCGGCAGGGTCAACCGTCCGTTGGACAAAGTCCAACGCATGGCTCTCTAGCGTGTGAGAGTAATGCCGAGAGTGAACGTACGCACGGAGACACAGACGGCTCGCGCAAGGCGAGTGCGAATGCCGGCGCGGAGAGCGGTCAACGTCGGTCCAACGTCGGTCCAATGTCGGTCCAACGTAACGGTTGACCCTGCCAGGGCGACCAGTTCTGATATAAACAGTGTTGGAGTCAATGCCACTCCTGGTCCCGTACTATCACAGTCGTTCTGTTGAATACTAAACCAGTGAATGGATAAGGAACACTCAGGTGCAATACAAATGGGATGGGCACGGCCGTAATTTTCGAATACGGTAGGCGCAAAATGTATCTGCGGAGTGTCACGTTAATTGAGGGAATTCGGACACTCAGGACATCTGTCAACCGTGAGCCTTGGCGGTTCAGCGTTTTGTAGTGATGTCTGGGAGCTCTCACAAGTGCACACTATCACAGCATCTCCTCTTTCTTTATCTTCTTCAAAAGGCTTAGTCCCAATAAGACACAAAGTGTGTGCTTTTCCAGCTACGCTCACCCTTTGGTTGACAGAAGCCTTGTAACCGGGGATTTCGTGATCTGAAGGAGTGTAGTCAATCTAGAGGGGTAGGGGTAGTCACTTGAGATGCGGACAGGCAGCAACCCCACTTGCACGCATTTTCGTGCCTACCATATTCAAGAAAATTTCGATGCTGCCAATCCACTTAAGTCTTTGCGAGCAATAGCTATTGTAGGATGAGTGCATACATTATACGAAGTTAGTGTGAGTATACATTTGACGCACTAGCACATTTTGATGATCCTGCACCTTATTCCGTCAAGTGCAAGAGAGTGCCTTGCGGGAAGTGGCCCAATGAGAAAATAGTGCTCCAGCGCTAATCGTCAAATTATTCAAAATTTTCGCCGCGCGCGGCGAAAAGGCGGAATTTCG